TATTTATCAAGAATCAGACTTGAGCTTCTACAGGCTTGCACTCCAAATCCTATAAATAGGTAAAAAAGCCTATTTTGATGATTTAAAAAGGCTGTAGAGAGGCAGACATGAAACTGTGTGATTGTACTGGGGTAATCCACAGTAGCTGAATATCTGTCCCTAGCTGTTCGGAGAGATGTGCTGGGTTATTATGTTAACAATCATAAATGAAAAATGTCCCAGGGCTCACACTGATGTTTGTTGGAGGCCTCTGTCCATGTGAGATGTTTCTGAAATTTCCATGTGCCATTCCAGGATATGTGTCATGGCCTCTTCTGAGAAGCATGAAGTCACTTGGCCTTTGGTCTTTTGACTTCCAGCACACCCCAGGAAAGGAGTATCTCATCAGGAGCCATGGCCTGTAATGTCTTCTTCTTTAATTACTGTTCTAGCTGTGCCAAACTATATTAACCCTTACTGCGCATATGCTGCCATGCTCCCTGAGATGCCTGTGCTTGGGTAGTCTTTGAGGCGGCTTACTGCAGTATTTGTATCTGTTGTAACAGGTAATCCCAGCAGCAGGGATTTCAGTCTCCCCAGTAAATAGTTCATGCACAGAATCTGATTTATCCTTTTGCTTTTCAGCAAAACACAGAAAGTTTTAAAATGGAATAAAACCCAACCAAATACAAAGTCCCTGCAGTTAAATCAGATTCAATCTTCTCATATTCCTTTTCTCCTATGACTTCTGTCAACAGTTTGCTCTTCAGTGCAGGATGACAACACTGGAATGTGACTGTAACACCACAACCGCTGACAGTCTGATCAGACCAAAGCTGTTACTGTCACAGACAGGGTAGATCTGGGCTTAGCAGCGATATGCATTTAATCCTTTAGAGCCCTCTGCCAGGTGGGAAAGTAAAATGAGTCTTTCAGTGCCATCACCCTAGTGTCCAGCTAGCAAGCACTCCCATTTCTGTGTGTATGACACTCATTATATCTGGCAAGAAGGATTGTGTTTAAACAAATGTTTCTAAGTAGATCCTTGTCTTTTACTACTATATTAAAGGGCTAAGGACATTAGATTTATTAATGTGTTCAGACAAATATTCTATACATGTTTTTTTCCATACCTCTAAGCATTTCTGATACTGTCTTTCATGATCTCCTGTCCAAATGTTGTTCCAGACCTCTTAGCAGCGAGAGGTTGCAGGTATCATTCTTTGCTGTTTTCTCTACCAATCCATGTAGAAGATTAGAGAGAATTAATTTTCTAAGATTTTTAAAACTAGCTAGTACAAAACTAGAACTGGTTCATGAACATCCCTATTTAACACAAGACTTCCACTTCTGGCAATTAGTGTGCAAAATTATCACATTAAAACAACACACTTTGGACCTAGTTTTGTGTAGAGCATTACATTCTACATTAAGTGACACTGACATAAACACAAAACAACTATATTGAAATGAATTTCCTCCTGATTTTCACCAATGTGAAAATGTGATTGTCCTTTTTATCAGAGCCCTTACTTTTCATCTGGAAATTCAGCCATTGCTCCAGATGAAATGACATTTGAGTAATGACAGGAAACCAGTGCCAGAAAACCAGCATATAACGTACCACATACAATACACATAGCAATCAATCATGACTAAGGCATTGTGGCAAGTGTGCTATTTATCACTGCTTAAAACCTATGTAAAGCTTTTCTCTGAGGAAAAATGAGAGACGTCTAAATTTTTCACAGTAGGCCTAACTGAGAAAACAGTTCACTGCAGAAGGTGTATTTAATTGCTTTTCTGAGTGTGTGCTCATCTCTGCTTCTGCTGATGTTCATCCCTGTCCTGAATTTATTGGATAAGGAGCTTTCTGGCCCATGGCTCTAGGCTGAGAACGGCCCTCTCTTCTCACAAACAAAAGCAAAAAGTCCATCAGCTGCAGCACAACTTAGACATTTGTCCTCTTAAAATACCTTTTTCAAAGTAAGTACAACCAGCAATCATAAAATAACTTCCATTTGCAGCTGTAACAGAATAGTGTTACATTATCTGTTGGATCCTGGAACCAAGTATGTGGTGGGAAAGGACTAGACCTTCCTGGGCACTTCCCTGCAGCCACACCAGGCTGTACTGGGCCATAAACTAGCCTGTCCAGTCCAAAGATCGTATTAAGCATATTGGAAACTGGTCAGTGTGTTATTTTGATCCTGTTGCTGCTTCAATCATGAGAATAGTGCTGGAGAAAAGAACATCTAGCAGAAAAGCTGGGACTCATGATAACAGACATCTTCATTCCTTCTTTATGAATGTCCCTTTTCAGCTGCTCTTAGAATTGACTTAAATTCCCCAATAAGAAGACGCTTTGAATTCTTTGTTAGGGCCTATAAGCCTGATTGGAGAAAGGTAGCAACTGGGCCTTTGGAGGAAGTACCGTATTATTCTGGTACTCACCAAAGTAACCTTGAACTGAAGGAGGATGGACCAGCCAGCTGGCTTCTGGTTGACACCAAAAGAGCAGTGAGGGGGAGAGGGACAACAGACTGAAAGCAGACTATCCACAACACGTAAGAAACATGAAGCAGGAGGACCAAACAGTTCAGATGCATAACAAACAGGTTATCTCAATGCTAATATTTTGACCAATGTGACAAGTTTCTGGGAAGGCAGGAAGAAGCTAATTTTAGTAGATGACTGAAGAAAGAATCCTACCTTGGATACCATTTCTTTAACAGGAATTGAAGGAATAAACATAATGTGATACCAGAACCAAGAGAATAGGAGTATATAACAATGCCAAAATCAAAAGAAAGACACTTGTGGGAAAAGTAGTCCTAGACATAAGTACTTCAGCTGAGTGGGTAAATGGAAAAGCGTGTCACTAAAGATGCCTGCAATCTGATTTACTCTTCCATCAATCCATTTGATATTTCTGCAGTGCTGTTGCCATTATTCTTTTAATTTGATATTGCCACTTGTGTGTCATGTGAAATACCATTTGAATGCCAAGGCAACTGAGATTCTGGCAAACACTGTTGACAGCTGTTTTGAAACTACAAATATGATGTATACTACATCTGGTGAGGTTGGAGTGGAAAAGTATGGTGGAAAACAACAGTTTCTCTTTTGGGACTGTTGGGAAGGGTTTACAGTATCTAAGTCCCTTATTTATTTATGGGACTCTCCAATTACCTACCCATACAGATATTCTTGTAAAATCAGAGCCAAAGATTGATTCAAGTATTTCTGCAAAGCTGGTTTGTTCTGTGTAGCTAGGGAAAATGACACAGAACATGAAAGAAGAGAGATGCTTGAATGAGTTAAATCAGTGAATCAATAAATGACCTAAAAATATTTTTTCATTAATTTTCATGACACAGATGTGATTATGCCTATTAAGGCACCATGTGTTCTCAAGCCTAATAAAGTCTAATACCTATGACTCAGTAGCAGCAGTGGCAGCAGGCCTCCTGGAAGCTGAAATGAATAAACAAGGGATTGTTGGTGTTGGGCTGATGTTGTAGGCACTACTGAGTAAAAGAGAGTGAAACCACAAATAATGTGCTTTATAAAGTTTGGAGCATAACAGCCAGGTAAGCAGTGTTACTTCTGACTGTTCTCCACAGCTGATTTCTAGAAAAGAAGTCTTAAAGAAAAAACAAGAAATAGACAGATGATATAAAAAATATAGATGCTAGTAACAGCATCTACTGGGAACAGTGTTCCAAACCCACCCCTGACCCAGAAGTATATAATCTTTAGAAAACTGTTGCCTCTTTCTGCTTCAATTTACCCTTTGCCTACCAAATTGTTAGAGCCTTTATATTGCAGTTTGCTGCACAATAGTCCATCTTTATGAGGAGAAGAGAAGAAATGCTTAATCCTTTCTAACCTTACCCAGGGAATCCTTGGAGATGTGAGATGCAAACTTGACACTAATAGATAGGGCTGGACCTGAACTTAGGTATCCCACTTTCATGGGATATTATATGTAAAAATGGAAAAAAAAAACTATTATATGTAAAAATGGCCTTTATTTTTGCTGTGCTTTGACAAACAAGCTGTTAGTCAGAACCTAAGGGTTGCCTTACCTAGTGCATTTGGACTGTGACTCTCCTTCTCAGAGAAGCAAGTAAGACAACCAAGTCTGGGATGATGGGAAAAACTTCAGCTACATCTTGGCTCTGGAGTTTCTCATTGTTTTTTTCTGTTTAGTTTTCTGATTGCTAGGAGTCCTTTGATACGCTCCTAATGGTTCTGTGTATTATACTGAGGTAAGACAGATGGCATGGCTAGGATTGGTAACACTACAGTCAACCTGATTTTTTAACTTTGGCCAACACCAATGTCTAAGCTTAGACAAACAGCTAGGTGTGATAGTGAGTGAAATGTATCTTGGCCAGATTCACTAAATACAGAAGATTCCACTACAGTTTGCTAATGTTTGCTAACAGATAATTAAAGCTAAAAAGGACTGGAATGCTATTTCTCTGCATTATTTTTTCTATATAGAATGAGAAGTAACAGAAAATTAAAAATGAAGAGATCATGTTCAGAAATAAATCCTTGATTGGTTTTGAAGCTTTTACTCTGAGTCCCTAAGACACTGAAGCCTCTGCAGCAGATGGTTTCCACCACTGGGGCCCCCAGGGCCTCCTGGAACTGCATATTTGAAACCAAAGATAACTGATTAGTTCAGAAATAATATAAGAATTCAATGTTTTCTTTGCAATCTGCCTTTCATCATTTTAATTTTCATACAGAAAGATAAATTTAGGCACCATGAAGCTAAGATAACAGCTCTAAAAAATACTTAGTTAAAAACAAAAAACACTGAAAAGGCTTATTGATAGGAAAGAGTAAAGGACAAAAGACTTATTTTTCCATTGGGATGCAGGAGGTTCATGTGGACGTCCATGATGAATAACCAACGATTTTGAAGAGATCTGGTTGCCACAAAGAAGTGTAAGTATTTATGAGTGCATAATGTATAAATAATTAAAAATATACATAACAACATCTTAAATGTCAGAGAAATAATTCAGGCTTTCATTATATTATTATATCATGCTGAAGCTAACAGTTTTCCATTACTTCCTCAATAATTTGAAATAACGATTTAATGCACAGAATGAAAAAAAGTTAAATATTCAAATTCAACCACAGAAGTTCTGGAAACCATATAATATGTGGGTGCTGAGTAAACTTTAGACCACCCAACCATCATTTGGCCATTGGTTCTACGAGTAAAACCTCACCCGCTTATAGAAGTCTGAAGTACTACACAGTTTTTCAAAGTTATTCTTGAGGGGGGAAAACAGAAAATGAACATTTTGTAGAGGTAAAATAGTAATTTGAATGTTCCCTGATGTTTATGTGGATAAGAAGCAAGGTTTATTAAAAATAACATATCCAGGGAATATACAGGTCTCTCGTTTAACAAACAATAATGTATTTATGATCAACAAGGTTTCTCTTCTTAAAATGTGCAGCGAATGGAGCTGAGTAGATTTGAGATTTTCTCATTTATTTTTCCTAACAGCAGCTTTCACTTAATGTAAAATCACTGTGGCTGACACCAAATCTTTTAAATATGTAATTTTCCCAAAACTAAAGTCAAGTTCTTTTGCTCTTTCTTTAATACACATTGATTGGACTGAGTGTCAGAACTCAATTAGGACCATCTGATGATGGTGCTTGCTTGGGGAAACTGACTACATCAACAGCAGCGCTAATATTTTATTTCAGATGGAGAAACTCTTTCTGTTGAGGTTGCACATTTCTGTGCACTGTAATGATTTGGATAGAATTTCACCTCAAAAATCTGAACACTTAAATTTTGTATTTCTGTGTGCTACAGGGCCTTCAACAAGGAGATGCAGTGCTGTCAGGCTGTCCTAGGCTCTACTGAATCTCTTGAAATATGACCAGAGTGGAAGTTTTTTTTGATGACTGCCTTATTCTTAGTTGGCAAGGACTTCTGTATTTCCATGAAACAATGCCATTGGCTTCAAATACAAATACAGTCTTGAAACCTCAGTGACATGGTTTGGTGGTAGACTTGGCAGTTCTGGGGTAATTGTTGGATTTGATGATCTTAAAGGTCTTTTCCAACCTAGTTGATTATAAGATTCTGTGAAACTGGAAGTGAAGAATAAGCACAGTGCCATGCTTGAACAAGAATATACTCTGGTGAAGCCACAGAATAAAGCACTCAGTGTGAATCTCCAGTTTTAGCACAAAGGCGAAGACAGGTCTGGATTTTCTGTAATAACAACCACCAAAGCATCTAGGTACATCCCAAGTGCATCTCAGACTGGCTTTATCCAATGTGCTGTTCTTTCTTCCATGCCTTGTGGAGCTTCACTGTCCTGAGCACTGATGTAGCACTGCTGGAGGAGAAAGGGGCAACTCAACACCTTGACAGCTCCTCCGCTGCAAAGGGGATTTGTGGAACTGGGCAGAGTTGGGAAACACTCCATCCAGGCCTCAAATGATGTCGTACAGTGAGGTCAAACTGTTGTTATGTGGCACAACACAGCTTTGAAGATTGATACAATGTAGTGGGAACACAAGAGATCCTCATATTCCCACTGACCCCTTTTGCTTCAGAGACATATCCAGTATTCACAGCTGGTGCTGTGTCTCCAAAAGCGAGGAGGATGAAAATGCTTAGAAAAAAACCCAAGAAAATGTCAATAACCAAACCAGTCAACTTCCCAGCCACTTCCTTATGCATTATAAAATACTCAGGATACTTCTATTTTAGGAGGAACATTCTGGATCGATAAATAGAAACCAGAAATATTTGGAAAGTACTACTCTCAAGAATAAGTTTTTCAGGAGGAAAGCCCACAGTTCCAAAAATGCATCACACCTGGAGTGCTACAGTGTGTAGAAGAGCTTGGCCAGCTTTATTCTTTAAATATGCAAGGGCACAAAGTGAATTTCTGTTTTGCTCTGAAATTAAGCAATATTGATTGTATTTTTATATGACACTAAAAGATGTCTTATAACTAGAAGAATGTACTAGTTTTGTGTGAAAAAAACGTGTGAATTAAGAGTTTTTGAATGGACAGGACATGAAAACATTAATAAAGGATCATCCATCCTTTTCCCAGAACAAAACGTTAACAGATCAAGTTTAAAAACATGACTTGCCAACCCCCTTCCCTTCCAACCCACTTTTCTTAAGACACATTGCATCTTAATTAATTCAGTTTGGATTTCTTGACATTGATAGTATTACCATTTTAGCAATTCTCCTGTCATCCATAAAGTCTGCTATGAAGCCTAGATCCAGCTTTGCTTTCCTATACAATTTATAAACAAAACCATATCTTAAAAATTAGAAGGAAATCACACAGAAAATGGGTATCTTTTGCCTGCCATTTCAGGATAGCATAGGCAATGTTCATGAGTCCTCTAACCCAATATTTAACTTGTTTTAATTTAACTTATTTTGGAGTATCACAAAATGTGCCATAGAATCTTTGGCTTTCATTTTGCAACAGCATCTGCCTGAGTAGATCCTTATGGAGTCCCCTTCCTGAGTGAGAGCTTAGATATTGTAAATCTATCCCAGTCATCCCTAAAGAGAAATTGGACTTTTCCACTGTCTGCACTCAAACCTCAGCACCTCCAGATGTAGCACGCATTGCAGCCTTCACTTCAAAACAGCTGTCAAGAATGTGCGCCAGACTTTCAACTGTCATGCCATGCAGGCAGAATCCCACACGACATAGGAATGGCAAAGTGGAATTAAATAATGGTACATGATATGAAAAGAAAAATGCAATAGAATTACAAAATGGTGGTGGTCATGCTCCCTGATGTTACAGAATCCAACATTTCTCTGCTGGAGTGAGTTTAACACCAGACAGTTCTGAAAATCATGAGGTTAAGAGGTAACTGCATTTCTTGAGAGGAGAGTAAATTTACCTGCCTAATGTATTTTAAGAAAGATGGCCCAAAATTTATCTCGGCTCTTAACTTGTCTAAAATACTCATTCCATTTAATTTAGCTGTTATTTACTGTGCATATAAGGCTATGCTGTTCATGAGTGATGAGGTATATAGTGTAACTTGCAGCCTTCATGTTGTGGTGTAAAAAAACCCTCTGAAACTGCTGTTACAGAATTTGGTATTATTTCATCAATTACTAACACTCCTCCTAAATAGAAGTAGAATTTTAGTGAGTAGTGTATTTGATGAGATAGATTAAGCTGACAACTTTCATTAGTGAGACATACAACCATTGTAAAACTCTTCCAAACCAAAAGGTTAGTCTTAAGAAACTAGACACTGATGTTGGCAGGTTCAGAGGTATTTTTTCAACTTTATGCAACAGTTCATCTGTGCCATTTTCAATAACTCAGGAAGTAATATACTGAAATATATACCGATGGCCTGACACTGAAAGAAGCCAAAGAATAAGGAAAATTTAGATGTTTCTGATCAAGTGGTTTTATTTGTCGGATGCTATGACAGCAGAAGCAAGCAACTTAAAACTCAGGTAAATACTAGGAATTAAGTTTTGCATTGGATTTTGGAATAAATGCCGCCATAAAAATGGGTCTTCAAGGAACATATTGTGAGAATTATTTCATTGAAGATCTAGATGACAAAGGGTTTAATTTTGTCTAATAGCACTGTAAGTTATCAGTTATATGGTATAAAATAAACTGAGGAAGAGCCCTCTCAGAGGACTCTCTAGACATTGCTTTTATACAAGATCAGCTCAGGCCAGATGATCTAATAGTCCCTTGTGACAATAACATCTATAAATCTACAAAAAAGTTTTAATAAAACATAAGACCAAAGATGATCTTGTATTTCTAAGTCTTTTGAGCTTTAACATTCTCTGCCTCCCATTTTGTGTTTATCCCAAAGCACTTCAGCTTTTTATTTAAAATTTTCTTCTACATTTAAGCACACTGGTTGCACTGGTAGTCCACTTTCCTGTTGTTATTCTTGAATTCAGTAACCTACCAGTCACAATTCCTATTATGGTGGTGGTGCAACTATTTAAGCTTCTTTTATATTATTTGTAAACTTAAACAGAATGTTTAAAACAAAATATTGGATCATCAAAATACATCACAATGTTAAGATGAATACTGCATAGATTTTTCCTTACCTCCTAATTGTACAACTTTCATGCTATCTTAAAAACTTGTTCCTTGTTCTTAAATAAGAATCCTATTAACTTCTCACAGACATAAAGCCCTGCTAGTTAGCTCTAAATAATGGGATAATTTCATTATTATAGTATTTTAGGTATGTGTTGCTAACCTATAATTGTTGAAACTACCACTCATTATATTATCTGTTCCCTGTTAATGTAGCCTTAATTCTTGCCAAATGGCACTCATCTACCTCTTCAGAGTGAGAACTTACCCTGTCCAAAATAACTGATTTCTTGATTGTCACTCAAGTAATATTTCACTCATTCAATATTACAGTTTTTATTGGGTGTCACTCATGTTGGCCAAGGAATTCTGCACAGGTTTTCCTAATACGATGGCAACTTTTTTATGATGGGTCGTCTAAAACTAACAATGTTTTTGCAGGGTGGGTTTGCCTTTTTTATGTTTTTGAAAGAATGCAGTGACTGTGTAAAGCTAATACAAGGTTTGGGCATTTATTTGTTTTTTAAATTAATTTTGAGAATATTCTACAATAACAAGAAAATTCGCCTGTTCAGATTATACTAATGAATGTCAGTTCAAGAATCTACATAAAAAGGTGGACTAAACTAGTTTTCTTTTGCTTTGTATCCGCTTAACAGCAACAGGAAGCACTCAAAAAACATTGTACTTACTTGACTTTTGTATACCAATTTCACAGACCAAAAGAATTGTATTTAAATGAGCTGCCAAACCTGGGTTTGTTGCCAGCCTGAGCACTTTCAGTTTATCACCAGCTGACCTGCTGCTGTAATTCTAATATCCACTTTCTTGCTACACACTCACAGTTCCTTAAGAATAAGATTCCATGGTCACTTCAGCAAATCATAGAATCATAGAATGGTTTAGGTATGACAGGACCTTAAGATCATTTAGTTCCAATCCCCCTGCCATAGGCACCTTTTTCCAGTATGTAAATCTTGGTTAAAATATGCCTGGAAAAGACTGTTGTCTGCAAAGCACCCCAATATTCATGGAGCTCCTACCTGTGCTTATAATCTCTATAAGGTATTGGAATCACTAACTTTTTATGGGTATCTGTATCTTAAACTGACAGCATCCACTGTAGCCTGACGCTATTCCAGTTGGTTTCCAGCAGAATTCATGCCATTGGGCAGAATCTGGATCTGATTTGGAGGATGGCGATGGAAATAGGGATTGTTAAAAACACCCCATTATCATATGGTCTGGTAGTTGGCTACAGTGCTGTTCTACAAACATGATTTAGTACAGATGTTTCATTTAAACTCTAGGTTTATAAAGGTACACATTTTTCTGGTTTACTCTGATTATAACCACAGTCTACTCCTCCCCAGTAATCAACTGCTAGAATTTGTCAAATGTTGTCATTTAATATGTGGGTCACTTCCAGTGCTGTGTTTGTTGCATGGAATGCTCCACTTCCATAGAAACAGATGTTTTAACTTAACAGCAAGAAGAGCTAAACAAGTGCATGTGAAGGCACCGTGCAAATAATGTGTTTCATTTCTGTTATTTATAGCTGTCTGCAGCTATCATAATTTTTTTATTTGAAAATTATTAAATCAATTACAAGAAGTTTATTTGCAGATACTGCCAAGAATGATGCATGCTAGGTAACTGCTTCTGGGGAAACTCTCTTCGTACGGGCCATTACAAAGGTGTTTAAGTGAAGCCAATGCATTTCTGAAAGGCTGCAGTATGACAGTGTTTATACAACAAGCCTCAGCGCATATGCAGAAAAAACTTACCCTTTTTAGATCTCCCAACCTTCTGGCAGATATGCCAGGTGACAGGGACAGCAGAGCTAGTGCTTCATTCTCAGCATATCTGAAAAGGGCAAGGCCAGCTGACACGGTGGTTAAAAAGAAGGCTCTGGCTGGAAAAAGGCTGGGCTGAGAGGATGGGTTTGTTCCTTCTTTCAGTTTGATTTAACTCAGATACATCCCAACTAACCCGGGAGTTACAGTTAGGAAAAGCTAGTAGCAGCCTTATCTAGAATGCAATGGGGGGAGGTGGTGGTTGTGGTGGGGTTATGATATTCTTTTGAAGCACAGAACTATTTACACACACCACAATGAAGCAACAAATCAGCCACCTGTGAAATTCTTTGCTCTTTTAAATTCTACCTGAATAGTTTCATGTCAATGTAGGAACCACTCATATTTATAACAAAGGTGACGTTTGAAAACGAGCCACGGTGCATACTTTCCAAAGCACACAGACTGAATAATTCGTAACAGTGCTGTAATATTCCACATCCAGGAGTGGATCACGTAAAGAGTAAGCTGTGTGCAACCAAGGTAGGGGCTGATAGCTGATATTGCCTAACATCATTTCCCAAACAAATCCTGTAATTTCTACACTTGAACCATGGGCAAGATTGAAATACAGCCCAGGTTATTCCAAAAGTTCACTCTGTTCCCCTCCATGGCCCACTCAAATGCCCTGGACATGTACTCCACCCACCTATACTGAGGTTTCTGTGCAGAAGACGGAGACGGGCCAGATGAGAGAAGTATCTCTGTTTGGAAAGCCTGTGCAAATGTGGGACACAAAAGCAGTAAACAAATCAAATGGGATGCCAGACCAAATGTGTTCTGCATTTGTGAAAATAACAAAGTTGAGTCATGAAAAAAGGTTTATATGTCTTCTTCTCGTACAATCCTTCCCAAGGTACTTCCTTTCAATCCTCCCAAAATTAAATCCAGCACAGAGAGCAGCAGTATTTGTGAGTGCACAGCATTAACCAAATGACAGCTCCATGTGGCTTAGCACCAAACACAGCTCAGAGGGACCTCCCACAGCCCTCTTCCATGCCCAGGCATTCTCTGAGGGACACAGCAGTGCTGCAGCGTTTGCGCCTCACCTGCCATTTGCAGTGGACCCAAGCTCAGGAGCCCCGCCAGCAACTTCTTCCCATGAAATTCTCCAGTCTCTGCCTCTACCATGAATTCCTTCATGGGAAAACCTCTGGATCATTTCTGTAGCCATGGGAAAGACGTTGGGAAGCCTGCCTCTGTTCGTGTCGGTGATGGAAAGCCTCTTCAGACATCTTTCCAAGGAACTTGTGAAACCACAGGAATCAGCGCACCTCTTGTAAACAGGTTATGCAGCCCCTGGGAGCTCCGTGGTTTGGTGTTTGGTAGGTATACAACAGCAGTTGGAAGCAAGATGTAACTGCAAAGCATACAGGTAGTACGAGATAGAACTGCTGTTCAACATCTGATTCACATGAAATGCTAAATGTAAAAAATACAGATTACCAAAAAGTTTGGCCAAAGTTTCTACTAATTCATTTTTATATGAAATCTTGATGTGACAACAAGTCACCCAGGGATATTCATTAGAAGTGTGCTTTTGCACATCCTTAATGAGAGATGGGAGTTTTTGAAAGTTAGGAAATCTGGAAAGCTTTTTAGCTCTTTTCAGTGCATTTCAACTGATGTCTGCACAGAGTGAGAATTTAATGTCGGCACATAGTGAGCACAGTCCAACACAAACCTGAAATAAGGAAAAAGAATGTCAGCTGGTGTTCTAAAAGCCTACTCTTTACACAAAAGTAATGAAGTTGTCATGACTGTCTGGTAGCAGATCAATATGAAGATATATTGCATTAATGTATTATATATTAAGGGGTATGGGCATATTATTTATTCAATTAACTCAGCCTTTTCTCTGACTGCAAGTTTTCTTCATAGCAAGTGCTACAAATTTTTTTTGCATTCTTTTTTTGTCTTAAGTCAGTTTATGGTACAATTTACATGAATGACAGCATTCATTTAATACTTGAAATTTAGAATTCCATTGTCTACCTGAGTCACTATCATTATTTTCAGTCTTTGTTGGATAACTTAAGCTTTAGAAAGTGGGCAGAGGGCCTCATTCATTTAGTGGGACTTTCATTCATTTAGAAGACTGGTTAAAGAAGGAAGATCTATTACACTAGCACTGCATAAGCAGATTAAAGGAATATCAGGGCATGACATACTTTTTCTTGCTTTATTAACTAATAAAATATTTTCCTATATATATGACCTTCATATTTAATATAGGCTGTCTTCCTGAACAAATGAACCACAAAAAGATATTGCAATAAAACCCAACTGATTTAGTAGATCTCAAAATTCAGAAACCTTTTTATGCATCAGATACACACAGTTTTGCCTGCACTTAATAGTCACATAAATCTTTCTTCCCTTGATATGGTTATTTGCTGCAGAGTCAATGTCTGGAACAAAGATTCGAGGATCTAAATAAATATCAATAAATATTTAAATATAAAAATAGTAAATATCAATGAGAAGAAAAAGTCTCACTCTATGATTTTAGGTGTGGCCTCTTTCTGCTTTTATTTCTCTTCAGTAGCTAAATCATCCTCAGGACAAACCTAAAAGGGAAGGAAAAAGTTGTAACAAAGTTACAGCATAATTTCTGTACGTGGCTCCATAGCCATGTGTCTTCTTCCATTTTCACAACTCCTTTATAACTGTAAAAAACAATGGAAGAAAGTATTCACCTGCAGAAATCCTGGTTTTTTCAGGGATTTGTGTAATGGATATCCAGGGGTTCAATGGAGTTTCATGCCATACCAGCCTTCTCCATGGGTTTCCTTTCACTCCTCTGATGTGCATGCCCATGCCTTCAAGGTGAAGGCTCACAGGCAGGTCTTTGCTCACACCGCTTCTCAACTTTTTTATCATTTTACCTACATTTTATATCCTTGTTATCAATTCCATACGTGTAACGATCTGTGCACTGCAAGCTCCAGTGTCTTCTTGATCTGAGAAACAACCAGACAATAAGAGAGCTGAGATGAAAAACATTTTCGCAGAGCAAAACTACCCTGTGACAGTAACTTGACAATAACCATTGTCATACAAAATGACATTAATCTATCATCCTGTTTCCACTATGTTAGTTTCTATTTTTTGTTTTCTTGAGTGACCACCACTCACCACTGTTATTTTGCAGCAAAGAGTTAGATACAAGAATAGAAATTATCTTCACATGTGCATCTGTTGTCTCAGCAAAACCCGGCTCCCACCTTCAGCATGTGCCTGCACACAAAAGGCAGATGAGGAAACTCATCTCCTTTGGTGCACACCAGACTGTCCCCCTGAGAGGGCAAGCAGACAGCCACACATGGAGGTATCACCAGCAGAAAGTACCAGCTCAAACATGACAGCTTCAGGCTTTGACTTGTGTCTGCTGCTGCTGCTGTGCACTTTTAGAATCATAGAATAGTTTGGGTTGGAAAGGACCTTAAGACCATCTAGTTCCAACCCCCCTGCCATGGGCAGGGACACCTCACACTAAACCATGTCACACAAGACTCCATCCAACCTGGCATTTTCAACAGTCCTGTTCCCAAACCTGGTCCAAATGGACACAAACATTTAAAACTAACACGCACATGACCAAGCTGTGAACCAGTTTGATTCCCCTCCATTACTGTATTTAACATGCATTCATTAAATGGCAAGATTCAAGACTGCAGGCACCTCTGTCATTCCCCTTGAGCCCTCTTCACACACCCTAATCACTCATAGCTGTCAAAAATGCACAGTTACCTTAACTGGGACACTACTGCAACCCATAGGTAGATATGTCTATGTGCTTTAAACTTCACTTCATTAAGATCAAAGGAAAATCTAAAAAAAGTAAGAAAAAAGAACTGCAGGATGAACAGTAAAATCAGGTGAAGTCCTGGATGAAGTCCTCAAAATCTGAGTCTTGTTTTCTTCAGGTGTTCTGCCTTTCCCAGTAAAGCTGTTGTGTCCTAGGAAAATGCATTCATCCTAGCGCTGTGTGCTGAGTCCTGTCAGCCCCCATAGCAGCTCTCTTAACCTCCAAATTCTCACTCGACCTGCAGCGCTGTCAAATTTGGTAGTGCTGCAGTTGCTTTGATGGGAAGTTCAAGCAGTTAATTCACAAGAGGTAAAGATAAATTGTTTTTCTAAACTACCTAAAAAGTCCAATTTCTATATAGACTTTCAGAAATAAACTTGTCTATTAAACCCATGTGCAGCTAAATGCTGTTTAGTTGAAACTGACATATCAGGGAGAATCTCAACTGGGAAAAATCCACAAAACCAGTATTTCAAAATGGACTGCTATTATTCTGGAAAGTTGTCATTTAGAGGGTTTCAAGATAGTATTTGCTGATGTTATATTTGGTATTTTATTTTACATTATTTTATTATGCCTTGTTAAAAGCGTTACTTTACCTTTTCAGAATCCATAAAGATATGATCATTAAGCTCACATATAATTTTCACTGAAACAATTTTTATTTCCTTCCTAAGCCAAAAGACCTTGTGTTTGATAATGAGACAGCTGGACACATAGATACTACATGTGCATAATATACATTACCATCACCATACCTGAATAAAGCCCAAGTGAAAGTTATACAAAAATGAGAACTAATATAATAGAATGCAAATAATATTTTTAAAATCTACATCAAATTTTACAATACCTTCAATGTACTTTTCAGCAAAATAAAATTTAAAGGAAATATTTCAATATAATCAAAAGCAACATTTTCATAAAAAATATTTTATGAAAAATTTCTAACTTCTGTAGGGAGTGATCAGAAATAAGGCAATAAGCTTAACTATTAATCCCAGAATTAGGAGATACAAATATCTGATTCTCTTTCATTATTTATCTGGAAATATGAATTCCTGAAAACTGGTATAAAATTATAAAATATATTCAAATGAACAGTATTGTAAGGTAAAACTGAGGGAAATATCTCAACTTATTAACAACTTTTTCCTAAACCCTATAGTCTGTAATTTCTGCGGTTTGAAAATGACATAGAAACACGGACAATTTTTATTATATTTCCTCTGGAAAACTCCTTTTATGTGTTTGGGATACAACAAACTCAAAATGCCACCGATATGCCAACATGCTGTTTTCCCCTGCTGCAAAGTTAAAGCTGTAACTTTCATTCAATGGATTGTTGGTTTCTGCCCCACTGAGGAGCTGAGCCCTCAGCACTGATCACTTACCTCCCTGTCTCATTTTACAGAGGTTCAATGAAACACTGATTTCTTTATGCACTTTAGCTTAGGATGCTAGTGTCCAGGTATTAATCTGATCCTCAGTTTCATTTCTGTTGCTGCAGAGAAACATCTTATCCTTTTACAGAGTGGACTAAATGCTTCCCTCATGCTGTTTTTTGATCTGGCCACTTGTGAACTACATCTGTAACCTTTTAGTGCCTTGCAGAGCCTCCCCAGCAGAGCACAAGCCAGGGGATGGCATGTTCTCCTGGCTGGGCCATGTAGCTGCAGCCCACAAAGACTTCAAAATGCTTATAGAACCATAGAATCATAGAATAGTTAGGGTTGGAAAGGACCGTAAGATCATCTAGTTCCAGCCCCCCTGCCATGGGCAGGGACACCTCACACTAAACCATGTCACATGAGCAAAAGCCACCTTGTGAGACATGAACAGCAATAGGTTTGAATTTACTTGGAGTTATAATGTGGGTAATATTGAAATGTGCTGCCTCAAGGTGCACCAAGGGAGGTTTAGACTGGATATTAGGAAAAATTTCTTCACCAAAAGAATGATCAGGCATTGGAACAGGCTGCCCAGTGGTTTAGTGGTGGACTTGGCAGTCCTGGGGTGAAGGTTGGACTTGATGATCTTAAAGGTCTTTCCCAACTTAGTTGACTCTATGATTCTATGAAATGACATTCAGAACTCCATTTTACAGGCAGCTCACACAGTTACAGTGGGTATGTGTTTCATGCAGGCTCTTTTCAGAATTTTCCATGGAAAGTACCTTCAGCCATGTTATCCACACAATGCATCATCGCAGCTCACCACCAACAGAATGAGAACCCCAGCTGAGCTGCTGCTGAACTTCCCTCTGATGTCCTCTATGGTAAATCTGTTCTAGTCACATCCTTCTCACAATGCTGACAAGAGGGATGGGTTGTCCAGCAGCAGCAGGAATTGTCTGGGCTGTGAACAGTCAAAATCAAGCAAAAAGCAAGCTTCTTCTGGCACCTGGAGTTAAAGAGGGAGCAAAGATACATCCAGGAATGCATGTATTTCCTGACAATATTTATCTCTAGTGTGATCATGTGTTCCCTGAACACAGAGTTCCTATCCCATAGGTCTTCTCCTATACACTCTGCTTTCCATCCCTGAGAAAAGAATGTATCTGTACCAGCAGCTTCTATATTGTTTAAACCTCCTTTGCAGCTGCTGTCTGTGCTCACCAAACATTGCCTGCAAGCAGCCTCCTCAGGAGGAAAAGTACACTCATCTTCTGTTTGACAAATCAAAGCATCCTCTGGAATTAAATAACAAGAATAATTAAACTGAATTTTGCAGACTGTATTTTCCAGTTGCCTGTTCATACCATGATTCGATATTAATTAAAATCCTGCAATGTTTGCAGACATTATTTTCCTGGGGAGTTTTTTTTTACTTAGCAACAGTGCTATTTTAAAGAAAATTTTCTGTCCAAAATAATAATTTCAAAGACTGTAAGAGGTTACTGTTTTAGGAACATATTACCCCATGATGACAAACAAAAGACTCAATAAAAATGAATGAAAACTGAAAAGAAATGAAGTGCTTATGGATGCAACACAACTTCACTTCCTAAACCATCATCCTGAAATATAGCCAGAAGGAACCCAGTAAGATTCTCCTAAACTCAATAAGCTGTAGACTAGATCTAATCAGGTATGAGTCAGAAGTTGTTCATGCTGTGGAGCTGATTTCTGCTCACCCTTTTGCCAGGATAAAAAGAAATGTTTCATCTTTGCAGGCTCATGGGACATTTACTGGACTCGAGCCTTTGGAAGGTGGGGAAACAGCAGGTCTGCAAGACAACAGCATCCCAGAGCACCTGTTCACAGTACAGGGGATTGGAGAGCAAGGAAAACTGCTCCTGCTGTGAGAACAGAAATGCTGCAGTCTCATTTTGTTCATTATGGAAACACAGCCACTGTCTTTTGAGGGTTGTGAGGCGCTGGCACAGGGTGCTCAGAGAAGCTGTGGCTGCCACATCCCTGGCAGTGTTCAAGGCCAGGCTGGACGGGGCTTGGAGCAACCTGCTCTGCTGGAAGGTGTCCCTGCACGTCGCTGGGGGTTGGAACTGGATGAGCTTTAAGGTCCCTTCCTACTCCAACTGTTCTATGATTCTATAGTACTCTCTTCCCATGAAAAATATAAAAATGAACAAAAAAAAAGTTATTATTTGTTCTGATAGTAATAATGATATTTAAACCTGAAATTTCAGCTGCTAAGGCATTCTGGCTTCACAAGTTTCCTTAATTCTTATACAAAAGTTAATTACACGTGTGCTTGGAGTAACTGGAATTATTCCACTGTACTGGTGGCAAAGGCAGTTTCCAACAAGTTGGTTCCGGTGTTTGACTCTTATTTTTACCTGTTTGGGGGGGCTTATTCCCATCAGCTGGTGATGCCTGCACAGATCCATGGGGTTTGCATGCAGTTCCTTGGCAGGTTCAGACCTCCTTTGGAGAAGACAGCCAGGGTAAGTAATCCCTTCTGCCAAGTGGGCTCTGCCTGCTCTGCACTGTTAATGGCCTTTGGTAAAATTCAGTCCCTGTCTCAAGAGTCCAGAAGAGAAATGTGAGCAATTTGATTACTTAGAAATCAATCCCTTGCTAGGATTTGATAACTGCAACAAAGTTCCCTACCAAATTTGACAGAACTTCTACTTAAATCAATCTATAAGCTTGTGCTTAAGCACTTTGTTAAATGAAGACTTCGGCAGAGGAAGACAGCAACCGTGACCTGTTCTTTAGGATAATAATCTGAAATGCTTCAAATTGGGTTTGCAGCCCCTTACGCCTTCTATAGCATTCTGATTCCCTAAATCAGAAAAAAAGTGAGATGGTGGAAAATTCTTATGCTGGAAATTGTTTCCAGGATGTATTTTTCTTAAACAAGATGCTAAAGGTGTATATTAAAATAAAATTTAAGTTTTACTTAATTTTTAAGCTAAGTTTTAGGCCGTAAGGAGAATAAATGTTGAGTTTGTTTAGCACACAGCTCCTGGAATGACTGTAATCTCCAAACTTTGTTGCAACTGTGTTTTCTGAAGATACTGCTTTTGTTTCTTGTATATTAGAATCC